ATACGGTTTTTGTCTTTCTGTCTGACTTACTTCACTTAGCATAATATCCTCTAGGTCCATCCATGTTGTCACAAGTGACAAGATTTCATTCCTTTTTATGACTAATATTCCATTGTTTATATATACCATATCTTATTTATCCATTCGTAACAGTGGACACTTAAGTTGCGTCTGTACCTTGGTTGCTGTAAACATAGGGGTGCTCCTATCTTTCTGAATTAATGTTTTTGTTTTCTTTGGATAAATACTCATAAGTGGAATTACAAGATCCTATGGTACCTATTTTTAATTTTTCAAGGGACCTCCATACTGTTTTCCACAGTGGCTGTACCAATTTCCATCTCACTAGTGGTTTGTGGGAGTTCCCTTTTCTCTGTGGCCTCACCAATACTTGTTATTTCTTATATTTCTCATAGTAGCCATTCTGCCTGGTATAAGGTGACATCTCATTCTGGTTCTGCTTTTGCATTTCCCACATGGTTAGTGATGTTGAGCATCTTTTCATGTGTCTGTTGTCCATCCGGTGTATCTTTGGGAAAATGTCTATTTAGGTCCTCTGCCCATTTTTAATTGGATTATTTAGAGGGGGTTTGGTGGTGTTCTATGAGTTCTTTATATATTTTGGATATTTAAACCCTTAACATATATATCATTTACAAAACTTTTCACCCATTCAGTGGAGAAAACCTTTTGTCTCGTTTCTGGTTTCCTTTGCTTTGCAAAAACTTTCTAGTTTGATATAGCCCTATTGTTTATTTTTGCTTTTGTTTCCCTTGCCTGGGAAAACAGATCCAGAAAAATATTGCTATAGTTGATGTCTAAGAGATCAGTGACTGTTTTCTTTTAGGAGTTTTCTGGTTTCAGGTCTTTTCTTTTCTTTCTTTTTTAAATTTTTTTTTAAAGATTTTTATTATTTATTTGACAGACAAAGATCACAAGTAGGCAGAGAGGCAGGCGGGGGTGGGGAGAAAGCAGGCTCCCTGCCGAGCAGGGAGCCCGATGCCAATGCCGATGCCGATGCTGATGCCGTGCTTGATTCCAGGACCCTGAGATCACTACCTGAGCCGAAGGCAGAGGCTTTAACCCACTGAGCCACCCAGGTGCTCCTGGTTTCGGGTCTTATATTTAGATCTTTTATCTATTTTTTAACGTATTATTATTATTATTTTTAAAGATTTTATTTATTTATTTATTTGACAGACAGTGAGAGAGGGAACACAAGCAAGGGGAATGGGAAAGGAAGAAGCAGGCTTCCCAGCGAACAGGGAGCCCGATGTGGGGCTCAATCCCAGGATCCTGGGATCATGACCTGAGCCGAAGGCAAACGCTTAACAACTGAGCCACCCAAGCCCCAGGTCTTTAATTTATTTTTAGTTTATTTTTGTATATGGTTTAAGTGGTCTAGTTTCATTCTTAGGAATGTAGCTGTCCAGTTTTCCCAACACCATTTATCAAAGAGGCTCTCTTTTCCCCATTTTATATTCTTGTCTCCTTCATTGTACCTTAATTGACCATATGTGTGTGGGTTTATTTCTGGGTTCTCAATTCTGTTCCATTGATCTGTGAATTATTGAGTCAAAGAATATGACATTTTTAATGATTCTTGGTGCATATCGCCAGTTAGTATTCCAAAATGGCACTAGCTCCTTGCCCAAAATTGTGTATTAAATACAATATTTTTTAAACCATTGTTAATTTGGGCAAAAGTAGATATTATTTTTATTACTAATATTTGTGCTTACTGCATACCAGGCATTGTGCCAAATACATTGTCATATTTAATATCACATTTGTGTTTTGCTTTGAGTTTCTTTGATTATCAGTGAAGTTGGGTATTTTCTAATATATGTTTGCTTTTTACATACTTACTTCATTTCTGAGAAAAGATGATTTGCCTGTTTATTGTGGTGGACTTAGTATTCTAAGTGGATGATGTCCTAAAGTATACTAAAAGGATAGTTTAGTATACTAAACTCTTTTTCTCTCCTTGAAAATACAGTCACAGTTCAAACCTTCCTAAGAGAATGTCACCCAATCAATGTCAGTACTTGATTTTTTTTTTTTTAACTTTGCTTGGCTGTACACTTTGTGTAATCTTTGGCATGTATGCTGCCATAATACTGCTTTACATCTTAAAGTAATGGATTTTATTCTAAACTTGTAATTCAGAGAAATAATATGTATTTGCAACCATCTGAATTAGTTTCTGAGGAGAATATATGTTATTCTCATATCTGTCAACAATGTCTGTCTGAATTAGTATTGCTAAAAATATCAGCTACTTAAGAGATTGAGTGTACTCTAATGGACAAAGAACTTGCATATTGAACTCAGTCCGATTTATAATTTTGGCTCTACTGTTAATTAGTTTTATAACTTTAGGCAAATGGCTTTTTTTGCTTCAATTTCCTTATTAATAACAGGGAATTTCAATTTTCTGATTGTTACCAGTTAGGATGTTTTCTAGCATTAAGGATTTTCTTCTAAAATAAAGTAATTCTTAAAGGCAGGTGACACGGCACTTGGTACAGAGTAAACATATATGTTGATTTTAAGTTCATTTTAGTTTGAAATGATTATAACTTGGATGCCTACTCATGTGCCCAACATATTAAGATTCATTAGGAATACAAAAATAAAATACTTAAAACGTTATGGAATCCATGGCTGTGAATAAAGGACCATACACAGAACTAAGTAGCAGCACAGAGTAAGTAGAGATTTTAAAGCCCATAGCATAGTATCTATAATATAGTAAAATCTCAGTAAGTGTAAGCTACTGGTATTTGGTACTCTCTGATTTCTGTATGTGATTGAAGATCAGTGGAGATAGAGGTGAAAGGCAAAGTAGAACATTGGAAATTAGTCATTCCCATCTTTGAACACTGACTGCTATGTGTGTTTGGGTTTTTTTTTAAAGGAAGCAAGATATTCTTCAGTGAATTTTCATTGACACATTTTTTTGAAATTCTCTATGGGTAGAGAGACTTTGGTGGTAAAGTGAATAATTTGGTCCTCTACATAGGACAGAAAGTCATCTCTGACATATATTACTTGCGCATATGCATGCACACATGTGCATGTTTATGAATATGTAGCTTTCATACCTGAAATACAAACCAAATTTTTACAGTTTGATCTTTTCCTTCTTAAAGTATCTTGGTATGTCAAGTTATAAGTACAGGTCTAAGTAAGAAAAATAGGAACTGGATGTGGAGAGAACAGTAGTAAGATTTAAAATAGATAGGACTAGGTCATTGGCATTCAACAATGATGAGTTTGTATTCTTACCAGGATAATGTAGTAGTTGTGGTTCCGAAGTCCGTCTGCCCAGGTTTAAATTCTGTTGTTTCCCATTACTAACCAGGTAAGCTAAAACAGGATGGTTAACCTCTGAGTCATTTTCCTCATTTATAAAATTGGGTTAATAATAGTGCCTACTTTATAGGGTTTAATTGATGGTTAATTGAGATATAGTTTGTAATGTTTAGCACAATGCCTGGCCCCAGAAATATTAGCTGATGCTGTTGGTAATAAGAGCTTTGAGACTACATCTATTAATAGCTACCAGAATCCAGATAGACTGTTACACATGTAAAATTGACTGGTTTCATAGTTCTTGAAGTAACCTGCCAGCTTTGTTCTAAGTGAAATAAAACTATGGGGGTATTTCTCTTATTTCAGTTATATAAGCATAAGTAGATTGAATAAGATAATGGAAGATAGAAAGTTTTTCACTGAATTCATAAATGAGGTACTTTTATGAACCACTAAAAATGAATTTAATAGTACATTACTTGTATCACTTTTCTCTTTGGTCACTTATTTTCCCATGATAGGTTTTTTGCCTTGAAGTATGTTTCAAAGGCAAAACAAAAGACATTTAAGAAAATAGAAATGAAAAAGGATAGTTTAGAAATAGCTTTTTTTCCCTTCTCCTGGAAAATTATGGTGATAATTCAAAGTTTACTTAGAGAATGCCAGCCTTTCGTTGTCAATACTTGATGAGATGGTATAGAATTAATATAAATATATATATATAAATTTATATATGCTATATATAAATTTTTATATGTTACATATATAAATTTATATATATTTAAATATATATAATAAAATATTGAATGTAATACATTTATAGTAATAATTTTGCTGATAGTGAATTTAGTAAGAAATGTTATCTTTTTAGTATAATCTATAAAAATATTAGTTATTTATCTCTTTGTAGTAAATATTTCAATTTGAGGAAAGGGTTTGTTTGGAATTATTGTTTAAGCAATATTTTAAATTTGGCTTAATATTGAATTTAAATTTATTAAATAAATATTTATTTGAATTTCAATGTATTAAATTTAAATTTGGTTATTTTCTATATCGAGTAAGGTCATATATCCTTAAAATGCATGGATTATCTAGTCTTATAATTCAAAGAAAGTCTGCTCATTTTTTTTTTTTAAAGATTTTATTTATTTATTTGTTAGAGATAGAAAGAGAGAGTGCGAGCACAGGCAGACAGAGCAGCAGGCAGAGGCAGAGGGAGAAGCAGGCTCCCTGCTGAGCAAGGAGCCAGATGTGGGACTCTATCCCAGGACACTGGGATCATGACCTGAGCCGAAGGGAGCTGCTTAACCCACTGAGCCACCCAGGTGTCCCAGAAAGTCTGCTCATTTTTAATAACAATAACCATTACGAGGCTGTTACTGTAGGCTGGGGACTTTAATAAGTATTCAAAATAGATTATTTATTTGTATTAATACCACTCACATATGGTGTTACAATGCTGTATTTTATTTACAGCCATTTCAAATAATATGAAATAAATTCTCTTCCTTGGATGTAACCTTTAATGTCTTTGTTGTACAAATGTTGTGCTTCAATATTATGTGGGATAATTGATTGCAAAATTTCCGATTTGTGATATTTAAATATGTATTTTCATTTTCCGTGAGCTTACGAGTCTTAAGTATTATATTGATTGACAATTGTTTTCTTTATTGCAGAACTGTAAGAGTAAATGGGTCCAGTAATTGGAATGACTCCAGAAAAGAGAGCTGAAACTCCAGGAGCTGAAAAGGTTGCAGGATTAAGCCAGATTTACAAAATGGGAAGCTTGCCTGAAGCTGTTGATGCTGCCAGGCCAAAGGCCACTGTAGTGGACAGTGAGTCAGCAGATGATGAACTCACAAACTTGAACTGGCTTCATGAAAGTACTAATCTTCTAACAAACTTCAGCTTTGGAAGTGAGGGTCTTCCAATCGTTAGTCCATTGTATGACATAGAGGGAGATGATGTGCCATCCTTAGGACCATCTTGCTATCAGAACCCAGAAAAAAAATCAGCAACTGCAAAGCCCCCATACTCCTTTAGTCTTCTCATTTACATGGCTATTGAACACTCTCCAAATAAATGTTTGCCTGTCAAAGAAATTTATAGCTGGATTTTGGACCGCTTCCCATATTTTGCTACTGCACCAACAGGCTGGAAGAATTCTGTTCGACATAATCTGTCCCTGAATAAATGTTTTCAGAAAGTGGAAAGAAGCCATGGCAAGGTCAGTGTTTATGAACATTGCTGTATTTAGTGAGGGTGGGGGAGAATTAACTTCGAGACCTTAAAATATGAGGAAACTAAAGGAAGACAAAAAATTGTCAACTCATAATTACTTCAGTTTGAGCCTAATTATATTCATCACTTGCTTTCATTGAGATGTTTTTAAATTTCTTAAATATTGATATAAATCTAACAATTTCAGTCTACTATAGGACATAAATTAGTTTTCTAATGTTCTAATTTTCTATGCTTAGTTTCTATAGTGTTCTGCCACTCTCAGTATGTTATTTATTCAGTATGACAGTCTCAGACTTCTAATTGGAACGTAGACCATTTACATTAATGTAATGGATATGGTTGGCTCTAAATCTGTCATTGTGCTATTTTTTGTTTGCTCTATTCTTTTCCCCCACTTTTCCTGTCTTTTTAAGGATTGAGTATTTTTTTTATGATTCACTCTTATCTCTACTATTGGCTTATCAGCTCTTCCCTTTTGGGGGGCTGCTGGTGATGGTGGTGGTTGCTCTCTACTTTTCAGTATTTATCTTTAATTTATCACAGCCTATCTTCAAATAATATCATCATTATACTATTTTTTTAATAGGTTTTTTTTTTTTTTTTTTTCTTTTTTGACAGACAGAGATCACAAGTAGGCAGAGAGACAGGCAGAGAGAGAGGAAGGGAAGCAGGCTCCCTGCCAAGCAGAGAGCCCGTTGCGGGGCTCGATCCCAGGACCCAGGGATCATGGCCTGAGCCGAAGGCAAAACCCACTGAGCCACCCAGGCGCCCCTCATCATTATACTATTATACCACTTATTATATGGCTTTACACAGAAAAAGTTGGCTAATCCTGATGTTTATCAGGATCAATTCCTTTTTCATGGATAAGTATATGTAATATTTCTTATAGTTGAAATCTAGCAATGAATTTATAAGAATCTTTTTGTGGATGTTAAGAAAAAAATTTTTTTTTTTTTCTTGAAGTATTTTAAAGATGGTACTGTCTTGTGTTCTGGCATATAATAGTGTCTCATAAGAAGTCTGCTGCCATTCTTATCTTTGTTCCTCTGTAATGTTTCTTCTTTTTCTGTCTGATTTCCAAGACTTTTCTCTTTATGTCATTACTTCAGCAGTTTGGCTGTGGTGCACTGAGGTGTGTGTTTCTTTATTTTTATCCTGCTTTGGTTTTTTGGAGGTTCTTGGATCTGTGATTTGTGGTCATTTATTTAATTTAGAAAAGTTTTGCTCACTAGCTATTCAGATATTTCTGTGGCTCACTTCCCACTTCTGGGACTCCAAGTAAAAATATGTTAGACCATTTGCTATTGTCTCACCTCTTAGTTGCTCTGCCCTAGTTTCTAGTCTTTTGTCTCTTTGTTTCAGTTTGGATCATTTCTTTCAATCTTTTTTGGTTTAGTCTTCCCTCTCGTATGTTCATTCTGTCGATAAACCTGATAAAGGACTTCTGCATATTTATCATCTGTAGCATTTTCATTTGCCTTTTTTTTGTTTGGCAGCAAAGCAAGGTTTATTGAGTGATAATAAAGTGATAATACAAAGGTCCCAAAGTGGGAGGGAACTCAAGAGGGTTGCCCTTCATTTGCCTTTTTAAAAGTAGTTTCCCATCTTTCTGCTAAAATTTCTCACCAGATCCATAAACATATTTAATTATAAATATGGTTTCTGTCTAATAATTTTAATATCTCCTCCATCTCTGGGTCTGATTTTGCTGACTGTTTTAACCTGTTCTGTGTGTGTTTCATAATTTTGGATTAAATGTCAAACATTGTAAAAGAATGGTAGAGACTGAGATAGATAATATTTCTGTCCAGAAATAAACATGCCTCTACTTTTATCAGGTTGTTAGCGTGAAACAGGTATAGGTCAATTTCGGTAATAACTGGGCTGGGTTTGGCTTTTGTGATTGTCATAGTTAACCTTCTGAGTACCACAGGCTTCAAATTCATACAGAGATGGACTGCTAATACTTGGGCTTAATGTGAGTCCTGGAGTGCCAGATGATTTTTCTTAGCATTTCTGCCCTACCTTGATCTTTCAGCTTGTGATACATTTGGGGGCAAGAAGGGAATTACATATTTTGCTCTGTGCTCTTGCCCCTCCCATAGCAATTGCTGTTACTTGGTATGAGGCTCTTGGGGTAGGAGCATGAGTTTCTTGATTTTTCTGCTCTAGTTTTAGTATTAAGCAGGCTTTGTATGCCTGTGTCTCAAAAGTAGGACTTTCCTTACCTTCCCTTGGAGCAGACGGTCTCTCCCATCTACTCAGAGTGAAGTCTAGTGGTGATTTCTTCATGTGGCGAGTGGTTAGCATATTGGACAGTACAGATACATGATACTCCTTTCACTGTAGAAAGTCCTATTGGACAGCACTGCTCCAGAGCTCGGGCCAGTTTCCTGCTCATTCCCTTCAAGGTAAATAAACTCTGCCTAGTATCAATGAGAGGTCCTGGTACAAGTAAGTTACCATTCCCTTTCTCAGGGCAGCAGATCTCTGCTTTGTATCATCTGGGCATGAGCGGATTTCTTGCCCCTTACCTATGACAGATGGCCATTGCCTAGTGTCACTAAAGTGTGAGGATAGTCGAGTGTTGTATTTTTCTCCAGCAATAACCATCCCTTACCTGGGACTGGGGTGAGGAGAGTGTCTTGCCTCTCTCTGAGTGGCAGGCAGCTTTTGCTTCATAGCAGAGCTTTGTCCAGTATGTAAGGCAGATTGTGTTTCTCTCCCACAGTGACACCTGATCTCATCTTATGGTCATGTAAAGCCCAGAATATGGATGAGGTTTGCCTGATATCCTTGTTCAGCCTTAAACCTTAGTATGTTCTGCACATCCATCACCATCTCCATGGGTGTCTCTGTTAGGTCTCTTGTCCTGTCTAAAGTCTTCCTATGGAGCACTGGATGGAGGCCTGTAGAAAAATGCTGGCTAATAGATGCAGACCTTTTTATATGGGAATGGCAAGGATGCTAAATTATCTTGCTAGCTCACACTTAGGTTTTAAAAATTTGTTGTTGTTTGAACATTTTATTTATTTATTTATTCTTGAGAGAGAGATCATGGCAGAGATAGTGAGAGAGAACACCAGCAGGGAGGAGAGGGAGAAGCGGGCTCCTTGCTGAGCAGGGAGCCAGCTCAGGGGTTGATCCTGGGACCCTGGGACCATGACCTGAGCTGAAGACAGACACTTACCTGACTGAGCCACCCAGGCACCCTGCTTTTAAGAATTTGTTAAAATGGGGGGGGAAAAAAAAAGGATTTGTTAAAATTTAAGTCTTTTTTTTTTTTTTTTTTGAAATTTTATTTATTTATTTGAGAGAGAGAGAGAGAAAGACAGCAAGAGAGAGAACACAGGCAGGGGGAGTGGGAGAGGGAGAAGCAGGCTTCCTGCCAAGCAGAGAGCCCGAAGCCCGATGTGGGGCTTGAACCCAGGACCCTGGTATCATGACCTGAGCTGAAGGCAGACGCTTAACAACTGAGCCACTCAGGTGCCCCATGTTTTTTGTTTTTTGTTTTTTTTTAACCTTATTTTATGACAGCCACTATTTCTATGCTCTTCCAGAGGTAAAACAATTCATGTATTCCATCTCTCCTAACAGGGGCCTGTCACACTTTAGAATTTAGTTCTTTCAGTTGTCTGTGGTCTTAGCTCTCAGATGAGCTCATAAAATATTACGATTTTATGGATTATTTTGTTTTTTTCTTGTTAGGCTGGGAACAATGTTCTCTAATGGCTTTCTGTCCCCAAGCGGTAGCAGAACTCTCCTATTCTTGTTTTGAATAAAAATTATGAGCAAATAATTATGTTTTTAAATGACTGAAGGATTTTTCTAAGGTAGTGCTGTTCAAGTTTAAGTGTATACACTGATATCTGGGGCTCTTGTTAAAATGCAGATTCCGACTCAGGAAATCTAGAGTGGAGATGAGGCTCTCTTTTCTAACCGGTGCCCCATTGATCCTGGTGCCATTAGTCCATAAGTAGCAAGACATTAGGATATATCATCATCCATCATCATCTTACAGCTAACTTAAAGGAGGTTGTATTAGTTATCTTTCATAACATATTGCTATCTAGCACATTGTCTACTACACATGGGATATTTATGAAGACCAACTAAGTGTTAGGCCATTAAAAAAGCCTCAGTAATGTCAAAGGATCAATCTCTGTCATAGCCTCCAAGAAGCCTCCAAATGAGCTCTACCTTCCACTATTCTTGCCCTTGTAGAATTCCCTTCAGTAATGAATAGGGTTGACCTGTATAACTACGAGGATATTGTGGAAATGATGCATCATGCCTTTTGAGGCGAGGTCATAAAAAGCACTATAGCTTCCATCTTGGGCTCTTAGATAACTAGCTGTAGGGGAAGCCAGATGCCATATCATAAGGACGTTTAAGCAGCCTTATGGAGAGGCTTATGTGTCAAGGAAATATGGCCTTCTGCCAACAGTCATGTGAATAAGCCATCTTGGAAGCAGATTCCCCCAGCCTCAAACTTTCCTTTCAGATGACTAAAAGTTTTAGGAATGTTGGACATGTTCTTTCCAACATGTATTATTAGATCTTATTTTGAATTATATCACTTCTTTATTTTCTAGTTTTATACCTATTGTGTTTATGCTTATGTTGGGACCTAGAACTGGAACTGTCTACTAGGTACTTAGAAATACGGTATATAGTGGTAACGTTAGATTAAAGCTCCAAGTTTGGAAGTCATCAGCACTGATTTTTCAGTTGAAAAATCTGAAATTGAACTAAACAACTGAAACAACTGAAAAATTCAGTTGTAGGAGGGTAAGTTTAAGTGTGAATGAGCAACAGTATCAAATGTTGCAGAAATCTTGAAAATGATTGGTTAAGAAGTGATTGAGACAACTAGCTGCCAACAGATTAGGATTCAAAATATGGTGTGCTGGTATATGTGGGGTAGGGATTAAGTAGGGGTGCGGATACAGCTTTTATAGATTTTCACAGTATAAATAT